TTATTTTGATTGATTAGATGATTTTCTATGCTCCACTTGTTGATTTCGTGTAGGAAACTGTTAGCATAAGTCTGGAGGGCCTTTTGGTTATTGTGAGAGAGCAGAACTACTGTGTCATCTGCTTACCCCTGAATACAGGGGTTGCCATTACGTGCAGAGCGATCTGTGATGCTAAAAATCCCGTTGTATAAAATGTTCCACAGAAGGGGGCCAGATTTAGACCCTTGGGGGCAGCCCCTAGTGATGAGGGTTTGATGCCAGATTTTCCCAGAGTCTATAGCGAGTGCGGTCCTTTCAGTCAGGTAACTCCTGAGAAGCTCGTAGATGTTGGAGGGGCAGTTGACATTGGCCAACATGGTGAGGATGACAGGCCACCACGCATGGTCAAATGCCCCTTTAAAGTCAATTGAGATCAGTGCTTTCCAGCATATCTGGCAGTCCGGATGTAATCCAAGATTTTGCCCAGAGCTTGATGGGCACTCTTCCTCTGCCGGAAACCATACTGTGCCTTGTGAAGGGCATTAGCTTTTTCAAGATGGTGAAGAATCCTTCCTCCCATAAGTGCATCAAGAACCTTGCCAATAACAGCAAGGAGCGAGATTGGACGAAAGTCCGTAGCAGTAGAGCAGGGGGCCCCTTGTTTTTTGGGAGAAGTTTAATAGAGGCCTTTTTCCAGTTGCTCGGAAAGTATCCAAGAGGCACTTGTTAAAAATGACCAGAAAAGTAGTTAGATGGCCAAATAGGCATGTTGTGCCATCTGCCAACTGATCATGTCAGGCCCTGGAGCTTTTCATTTCCATATGTTATTAAATTCCCTGCTGATTTCACTAGAGTTAAGTGGCTTGTCGGCCTCAGTAGTAGGCATATTGAGGCTCTGGTTCCGGATGCTCCGTTGAATGGTGGTGTCGTTGTCTGATGGGAAGAGATTTGAGAAGATGGTCTTGTAAGTATTTCTCAGATCAGAAGTATGGCCAGAATTGGTGCTCAGGGTGGCTGGTGGAGCTATGGTCTTTTTCTTTTTCATTGCAATATAATAGGTAGGGGATTGACCAAGGTCCTTTGGAGGTGGAGGCAGTGCAGTACTCCTTCCAGGATGAGCTCCTGGTCTTGTTAATGAGGGTTTTGTATTCTCTCATTGTTCATTGGTACTTTTCTTTCTTTCTTTGTTTCGTTACAGGGTCGCTTTCTTTTCTGTATTCCCACCTCACTTTACATACACTCTTCTGTTTATTAGCAAGCTCTATGTTCCACCAAGGGGCTGAAGGCCTTTTGAGGTTGACGGTTGTTGTGAGGTAGTAGGCATGCCTGAGAGTTGATTGGAGTTGGTTAACCGCTTGATCGATGTCCTGGGTTGACTTTATGTCGTTGAGTCCCGTTGGATCCCACAGTTTTTTGATGCATTCCTCATAATGGTCCCAGTTCATGCAGTTCCTGATACTGTAGTTAGTTGGGCAGTGAGAATATTCAATTTTTGTATGGATGTAGGAGTGATCGCTGACGGACATGAGAGAGAGAGTTTGGCAGTCAATATTGTAATTAGCCAGCTTCCTGTTTGCCAAACAGAGGTCTATCCAGCTCTCTCCATTACTGTTTGAGAAGGTCGGAAGAGTGCTACTATTGAGAGACTGCAGGTCTAATGCAGTCGTCATTTCAGTAACGATGTAGCCTCTCGGGTCCTCAGTTGGGCTGAGCCAAATGGGGGACTTGGCATTGAAGTTCCCACAGATGATCACCGGACCCGGAGGAAGGTCCTTGAGGTGCCTCCTAATCTTCTGGAGAGGTGGGTTGATGTCTTCAGAGGGCGGACAGTAGACACAAATGATGTAGAGTTCACTTGAACTGATGCTGACACTTATTGTGGTGGTATAGCTTGAGCAGCAGTGCGAGATCAGTTGACAACTGAGATTTTTGTTTCTGATCAGGAGACCTGTGCGGATGGGATGAATGCCGTTACTCCAAGTGAAGATATGACCGTTGCCCAGCAAGGCCACCTTGTTGTTATAAAGGTATGGCTCCTGGAAAATAAGAATGTCAATTTCTTTTTCTGCCATAATTTGTACAGTAGCTGACGAGGCAGCCTTACACTTTTGGAGGTTTATCTGAACAATGTCCAGTTGGGTTTTAAAGTTCCTGTTCCGTGGGTTCTGGTTGTTATGATGTGAGTTAACCATAGTGAATGAGAAGGTGGGCTGGGTGAACTTATTCGTATTGAGTACCATTTACTTGATTTATTTTGTACTTTTAAAGTATGAGGCATTTTCTGTCAAATGCATTATGGTCCGTTTTCACCCTCCTTTGTTCAGGTACTGTCTTGTTATGTAGGGTGCAGTTTATGCATTTCGAGTCCATTTGTAGATTTGGGCATTCCTTGAATTTATGGCATTTGGTACAGTGGCTGCATCGCTGCTTTTCTTCACACTTATGTGATGTGTGCCCAAAGCCTGCACAATTGAAACAGCAAAGAATGGGGATGTAGTCATACACCAGGATGGAGGACCATCCAATGAAGATTCTTCCACTTTGCATGAGAGCCTTTCTAATGTTTGATGTTACATTGAGAATTACATGTTTAAGCTGGGGGTTGCCCTTTGGGTGGAAGCTATGGCTGATCTTAATTTCCTTTTTATACTCTTCTTGAGTTGTTTGTTCTTGTAATTGCAAGTTTTGTTTGAAGATGTTCTCAGTTAGTTCGTTGTCCTCAGTGCCTGTAGGCACGTTGAGTAATATTACCTTTGGTTGTCTTTTGTTTCGTTGTGACACTTTTATTTTGTTTGTGAGTTCCTTGTTGTTCTGTATTGCAGATTGTAGCATTTTAGCATCTTGGTCCTCGCACATCCAAATAGCTAACTCTCCACTTGGGAGGGGTCTTACTTGATTAATCCTGATGCCCAATTTTCCAGGGTTTATGTGCTCCTGTATTAGGCTCATTGTTTCCTCAGCAATTGGTGTGGGTTCGGTGACAGCTGTGACAAGAAAGCTGTGGTTCCCTTTTGCAGGGTATTTTTATTCCTTCTAGCTTAGCTGAGTTAGCGGTTGAGTTTAGTGGTTTCACTGATCAGACGCAGGTTCTTTCTCAGGACATCCAAATAAGTGCCTTTGGACAGGCTGTGGCCCAATTTAGCTTCTTCCTTTACTCTTTCACGTAGGGCCAGAACCACACCGAAAATCTGATTAATTAACAGCTGCGTACATCTTCACTGCAGCCTCCCAAGCCCGGTTACGATCTGCAAGTTTGATAGAGGAGTTGCTGTCAGCGTTTATTGAGTTGAGTATTGTCTTCAGAGAATCATTGATTGACTCAATAAGTTCTTCTTCGATGAAGCTGTTGTTGGTAATGTCATCCATTATATCAATCAGCTGTAGCTGCTAGATAAATATGCAGTGGGTAGAAATCGCCCCTGAAGGCCCAGAACACAACAAAAAAAAGGGCCCAGGGACCACAGTAAAAGCAGTGGATCCTGATAACAGTAGGAGTGATGAACAGTTTCAAGTCTTTACTGGTGTTAATGATGTCTGTCGCACTAGTCAATTCTGTGAAGACTGTCACAGTAGACCGCCAGAAGGGGCACACCCGACACACTAATCCAACACCTATGCCAGAGATACTGGTACGAACAGAGAAAATAACCGACAGCACGGCCCGCAAAGGCTCGAGCTCAACGCAGTACAGTTGTAATAGTTGATACAGAAATAACAGAGCGGACGAGTGTGACCTGTGCAACTCCAAGCGGCCAGAACAATGACGAACGGCTGACTGACCATGTGGTCTCGGAAAGCCTTTGTTAACGGTAAAACCTTAAGATCAATATAACTCGCGTTCCATGTTATATACAATAATCAAACTACCAGACAATATATATATAGATACACGCTATAAAATACCGTTTATACACAATCCAAAAACCGTCGGGGGAAATCGATGGGGAAAGGCAAAGTCCGGAGATTTAACAGTTCAGAACTCCAGAAATAACCGTCCGATTGATATATGTCTTCTATTCACGCAATCCTTGTGTGAAGAGGAATTTTTTGATGTATAATAATCCAAATTTGAAACAGTTAATCCAAAGTAATTGCGATCAAAGTATGAAGCACTAGATACCACAACCTATCCTTGCAGGAGTTGAGACAAATACATAAAGAAACGGCCAAGGCTAATGATTTCCAAGTGATATATCGACGCAATCCTACAGTTTTCAAGCTATTAAGAAACAATAAGAAGCATTATGACTGGAAATCGGCATCAGGGATCTATTCTATACCATTACAAGATCAGCGTTTTAATTCGGATGTTGTCTACGTGGGCTCAACAATGCGCAACTTGCAGCAACATATCAAAGAGCATAAATATACGATTAATAAGAAACTTGACAACACCATGCTATCGTCTTACGCAACACGACATTCGAGTCCATTGGGATCGAGCGGAAATAATTAAACCTATGACAAATTTACGTACAATGAAATATCTGGAAAAATTAGAGATCTTTAAGGCACACAGGAAAACTAGTTGCATCAACCATAGGGATGCGGACTCTCTACCTATCGCACGGCAATCCTTTTACAAGAATTAATGACTTTATTTATTTTTGTTAAGGGACATTATTTCGGCTTAATTTATATTTTTCGTTTATTTTATCAGCACAGCTATTCCATTATTTATATTTTAATTTCGTATTTACATTCTTTTTTGTGTTTGATTTATTCTATGTTATGGTAACTGAAGATCGTTAAGAAACAATTGAAAATGTTTTTACTTTAATAATCCAGCTAATAAAAATTAATAAAGGTGTGTTTTATTCGTGGTATATTTATCCAGTTGGTTTGTTATATAAGTAAACTAACATCTTTAAGGTAAAACACTTTTGATCAATTCTCATGTGAACATATTTCATATATCTTGATGTCTTTGCAGATAAGAATTTTATACAAATTAAGCTGAATGTTGGCTTAACCAAGTATTTAAAACAGTCTAATCATTTGATGTGTGGTCTTATTTTTAGGTTGCCATGTGTCTCAAAGACAGAAGAGGTTCCCGAAAAACTGCCAAGTCCAAAATTTTTGAAGGACGGCCAAGAGACACAAGAGTCCGGCACGCGTTCCGTATTTTCTAATCCATACAGAGAAGCCGAAGAAGCCCAGAAATCGCTTTTGGAAAAACACGTCAAGATGACTTCGGTCGAAAAACAGAGCACATTAAATGGGAAACAGATATGCTGGAACTTCCGAAAAGGAAAATGCAGATTCGGACACAATTGCAAATTTGCGCACGACAGCGACGCTCCCGTAGACAACCGGGCAAATTTGGCACCGTTGTCGGCGACCAACGGAGAGATTCACGATGGCAGTGTAAAACCAAAACACAAAACAAAAAAGAGCGGCAAGCGTCCGGGCCTGTCGGATGGACTCGTTCCCTCAAAAAAAGTAATGAAAATGTATCGACAGAATGCAAATCTATCCAAAGTATAAATCTATTGCATGTTGGAAAACCGATTTTCCAAAGATACTCGTCGCAGAGTAACTCCATTTTTTCTAGTGATACGTCAAAAGGAAATTGCTGCTAATGCAAGCTAAATATCAATTTTTGAATTTTTATCAAATTAACAGAACATAAATGCATTTCAGCTCTATCTTAGCACAAAAGTAGAATGTTCATTATTACACTTCTCATTCTTTCTATCAGCTTCTCTATCACAAAAATCATTTGAGGACGTAGATTAGGATATTGATAATTTCCAAAAGATAATTTTTTGACTAAAAATTAATAGTTTAAAATTAAACCAAACGGCAAGTAGTTTAACATGAGTCATTTATTGCATCGAGCAGTCTGAAAGGATTAAAAATGACCTTTTTACCCATTTGATCACCATGACATAAAATTTTTTTAACAAAACATTCTTAGTTGTAATAGCATTGTTTATAAATAGCATATGGCTTGCTTTTTACAGTGACAAAATGCTTATTTTAGGAATACATAAAAAATTTCATAACACATAACTTAGCTTATAAATTTCAAAAAATGCATTTTTTTTATCTGCAGATTGTTCTCGACTACACACAGATAGTCAATTATATAAATGCACATATCAACTTAAAATTACTATGTAGTTAAAACCATTTAATAAGCACTCTACCCGCTAGACGATGCTAATTATCAAATATCTCTCACTACAATCTTTCAATCTCGGTCACATATCGTCGACATACGAAAACCTCATTCTTCCTAATGCATTACAAGATTTCGTCTTTACGTAGCGGCAGAACGTACAGAGAAAAATAAATTACTTAAATATATCAAAACAAGAAAATATTTGGAAGAAAGCATTTCTGTTGAAAGTCTTTGTAACATTATTTTTTTAAAAAATATCAAAATGTTTATCATCGTCATCAAAATATTTACATTTATGTAATTTAGCGTTTTTAAACTCAGGTATTTATTAGCATATCAATCATGTTTCCAGTTTAAAATTAATAATAAATTTTAAGAAATTTTTTGTAAACATATTGAAATGAAATTAAAAAGTTTTTATTAAATAGCATATGAATGGTTTTCAATTCTAACTTAGTGCTAAAGATTCATTTGTGTGACTGATCAAAGCATAAGTAGAGAATGTGCTAAACTACAGTGTGAAAGTTGAGACACAATAAATTATTACATAATGAATCCAATAATAATTAGAAATTAAATGCACTTGCTTTTGTTCCATTGATCGCACCAAAGGAACGATCAATATTACAGTTAATGTTCCTAGAAAATGCAATGCTAATTGAAACTACTGTATTACAAAAGATGTTTAATATAAACATCTTTTGTAATATAAACACACCAAAGAGAGTTTCTTAAAATTACTAAATCACTTTTGGATTCCGTAAAAGTTTGGGTTATAGCAATTTTTATTCTAATGTTTATCAAGTGCGACATCATTTTCATACTGTTGTTTATTAACGGGACATAAGGTTTTCCAATTTGTAAAACTCTTAAACTAACTGTGATAAAATATCTTTCAGGAAGAAAAAGTCAAAGGCCTTTTATTTCTACAAACAACAATTTATTGGAGCAGAATAATAATAATTGAAGTAAATATGAATGTACTGTACATCAGAACTCCACTTTGATGTTAAGAGTCCAACTAGTTAAAAATCAGATAATTAAAATTTTGAATGCAAGTGTTTACTTTCTAATTAATCAATAAATTGCATCAAAGCAAACTATGTTAAAATTTAAATACTAGAAAAATTAATAATCTTTTACTCAAAATAATTTGAATTATTTATACAGTAATATAAAATGCAAAGCAGATAATGCAACTGGTCTTAATACTGTCTCAAGTTAGTAATAACATTAAATAGTACGAAGATGGTTCAAGGTTGATTTGAACTTTAATTTTTGACAGCATTATAAAGAATGCAAAAAGCACGGTGGTATTCAGTTTTTCTCTTGGTAATATACTGCATATCAATACACTTTTTGCAGCGATCGGAGTAGCTCCTCGATGCCAGCAGCTTAGAAGTTTTTGTCCCGAGCACGGACTCCATTGCTGGAGCTCTGTCAGATAAGAATTTCATTACACTCGGGTGTTCACGGACCAAACGAAAGTCATTAGGGGCTTAATTTGGACTGTGGAGCCAATGACCGAGCACTTGCAATATAAAACTTTGCTAGTGGAAACAGTCAGATGTTCTATAACAGTCATGCATTATTGTGCAAAATAGAGATGCCTTTGGTGATGTTTTCAGGTCACTTTTTGCAAATGGAGAAACAGTACTACAATTCTCTGCTGAAAAAGTAGTAAATTGTAGTACTGTACATTCAAAATAGCACTGTGTAACATGAAATCATTTGGGATAATACCTTCTGTATCCCAAAAAAAAGTTTGCCATTATCTTCCCAATAGACTGAAGATTTTTGGTGGAGGCAAACCAGAATGATGCCATTGCAAGCTCAACCGTTTTGTCTCTAGGGTGAAAAAATGAACAGTCTTGTCACATGCCACCGTGGCATCCAAGACTCTCCTTTGAAACCTTTTCAGATGGGTCTTGATGACCCCTCCTGACTCTCTTCTGTTCAAAGGTAAGCATTTTAGGAAACCATCATGCACATGCTTTCCAAAATAATAAGTGTTTGTGAATAATGCTCTCAACACTTATTTCAATGGCTATGATTAGAACATGCACATTCACATGCCAAACATCCGGTACGATCTCCTCCGTACGGCAAATGTTCCTGTCGGTCACTGGCGGATTCCACTGGCAAATGTGACCATCTCTGCCTTAAGGCAGAAAATTTGCTGCCCCAAATGAAGACATTAGAGAGTGATAGGGTCAATTCACCAAACTGCTGAGAATCTGCAAAGAATATCAGCCGGTTTTACCTTTAAATCAAGTATTTTAACAAGATGACATCATTCCATGCCAGCAGCAACAACTGTGGACACCATCTCATTCTGCTTCTGTATTCCAAGATGCCAGTTGACTACATTTTCATTCAACAACTGTTGACTCTCACTTTTGTCACAGTCTCATCAAAGTAAGTCTATCCCTTGCATGATGGTAGGCAAATGAGAAACAAGCTTTTCATTTTGTCAACTCCTAATTGTCAATTTAAAACTGTTATTAAAGATCTTGTCCATTTCTTCTCTTCAAATGGGAAATATAATAATTCCATAAATTATTTGATCATTACTTTTCCATTTGTGATGAACTAAATGTTTAAAAACTAAACAAGTTACAAAATATGCTAACATTATGGAAGCTTAGTAATTTTATTACAACAGAACATTTTTTAATGTAATAATAGATAAGAATCACACCTCAATGCAAAATTTCCTAAAAATAAAACTCCTGTATACTTTGTGGAGAACCTTTATATAAAATCAGTTAATTTTATAAATTGAAAAAACATTTTTAGGTTGTTTTTAGACGACAAACCTACTTTCAAAACTGAACAGAATGGCATTATCAAAAAATATAATTTGCAGTCCTCCCGAAGTTTTCATCCATTGGCAAAATATCTCCTTAGATAAATGCTGCGATGTGTACAGTGTGTCCCATTTAAAACTGGCCCAAACGAGATGACAGAACATTGACGATGTAAATTTTATAGAGGATATTTAAAAAGAAAAAGTATGCGAGGCCAATCACAGAACCATGCATAAATTGAAGGAAAACATTTGTAGAAGCACCGAGGTTACGGGCACCAGCAGGCTATTTTATGTAAGATTGGTCTAAACATTATTATTTGTACACAAAATTGCACAGCTGCATAAGAACACCACTTTCATTATCATCTGTAACACAATACAATTATTTTTACTTTCTTTTTATCATGTAAGTTTCCATACGTTTGAATTTGAATTTTATTTTTTTCTATTCATCAGTATTGTTTCTGGCAACTGAGGCTGATTTTATGTGGGACACTGTTTAGTATTATTGAATTATTATCTTCTGGAAAGAATCGTAATGTAAATAATTGCAGTTACCCAATAGTATTTCACTCATCATCTGCAGCTTCAATTCCATAAAGAGAGATCCTGATTTTGGTGGAAACCGGTACAAACTAGAAAAAAAGAATCGGAGAAATTTATTAAAATTCGTTTTAGGAACATGTCAGATTTACTTTACAAGCTTTTTTTGAGTGTTATACATGCTCATTATCAAATTATTGATCAGCAAACTTTGAAAAAAATAAATGTTTCCTGCCAACATACAACCAATCTAAACAGTTTTTGATTTTTGTTTATTTTATGAGGATTGATTCATAAATAAGATTTCCTACTGCAGCATTCTGAAAGACATGGGGATGAGAACATGCAATAATTGCCATGTGACAGTCACGAGTTAGTCACCGTCCGGTCACGGTTGGTTTGCACCATTGCTTAACAATCAAATTTGCTTACCTTGTTCTGTGAAAAAAATGAAGCAAGCAATAATTGAATTTTTAGTACCATTTCTCTATTTACATGCAACTGTTTTAAGCCTATTAGGAAGTATTGTTAAAATTCATACTGAGATATGTATTTGCAGAATACGGAGTTTCAATTACAGATATCCTTTGCTTAACACTGGATTTGATTAGCAAGCAAAATTAATTGTAGCAATCCCTTTTATATAGGAAGCAGAAATTTTAATTAATGCAGCTTTAATAGTTGTCTTTACTTAGCATACATGTCGTATTTGATGAATGCAATTTTGACATACACAAATAGCATTGAGCTATTAATTAACTGCATTAATTAAGGAATACCTATATGATTTTATTATTTTTAGTTTTAATTAACTGGCTACCTATTATTAATAAATATTAAACTAAATATTAATATTATAATATATAATTATATATTAATAAATTTTCGTTTTTTAATATTTGAAGACAAGTTCGCCCAAATAGGGATCACCATTTTTTTCCCTTTTGCTTTCTAGACGGTATATTTCCGGCAACCGGCCTTTCTTTCTAGGCTACTAACCGCCAAAAAGTTTTAAAAAAGTCCTTTTAAAAAACAAAAAGATTTCCAATTAAAAACACAAAGATTTTCTAAAATCAGAACTGGTGTTATACGAACGTCTGTGGATAAAAGGCCAAAACACCCCCGAGAAAGTACAGATGGTAACAAACAAGAAAGACGTTCAAATAACACCAGTTCTGATTTTAGAAAATCTTTGTGTTTTTAATTGGAAAGCTATTTGTTTTTTAAAAGGACTTTTTTAAAACTTTTTGGCGGCTAGTAGCCTAGAAAGGAAGGTTGGTTGCCGGAAATGTACTGTCTAGAATGCAAAAGGAAAAAAAATGGTGATCCCTATTTGGGCAAACTTGTCTTCTAATATTAAAACATAGAAAGAACCATCGGACAAAAAAATTAAGAAATTTTTGTCATTTAATTTGACTTAAACACAGATTTGCAGATATCATTTATATTAGTTGAATGCCAATTAATACAGTTCTTATTTACATCAAAAAGTAAATTCTAAAAATAGACCATTTTTAGAACGATTTAACAAGTAAATAAAACACTCGTTCTATTCTGACTTCGAGAGATCTACGACAAAGACCTACTAACAATAAAGTAAATGTTTATTTCTTGATGTTTTTTTCAGAATCCATAATGCATTTCACCTTGTTCTAGCCTCGTCAGTGGATACAAATATCAGTTCTTATTTATTAATTTGATTTAAATTCAATTGCAATGCATACCAAAAAAATAGAAGTATGTTTAGTATAATTGATATCTTACCCACATCAAAATCTAATTTGAATAATGTTATCGATGCTTCGTATCGTAACTTCTAACGACACCAGACGATCTCGGCACCACTAACTTATGGATTGGTAGTCTTGTTGTCAAATGATCGGTCTGTCGACTTTCTTTAACAGAGGAAGTATATGGATTTGACTGCGCGTGCGTGTGTCTAATCTATGGTCAGCTCAAAATCAAGGCATTTGAAATCTAAGTTTTGACTGTATATGAAAATAGATCTTTCCCATAAATATTAGATAGAAAACTTTTCAGTATTCATTAACTACTAATCTTTTGACTGTACAGGATGTTGTGATTGCAGTTCTATATAGACTCTTACTGTTTAGAAAAAATCAAGTGTAGAACTAAATATTAGGAGGTATACAAATGGTTTCACTATACTGAGGTTTAACTGCATTTGGAAAACTAAATTTAAGTCTAATCTTTTGTTACAAAATGTTTGTATTAATTAACATGTATTCTCAGTCTTACAATTGAGTGAACATTGGACAGCACCAAATGTTGAATTTTACTACTTAATTCTAATATTTTTTCCATTGGTTCAGTTATACGTGGGCACCAAAGAATGATAAAAATACAACAGGATATACTCTGCATTTGCACATGAAAAAAATTACGTATATGTAGAAACTACAAGGAGAATGTTATGCAATAGGGTTTAGAAGCTTAAGAATAGTGCAAAGAGGAGTAACCACACAAGATTAACTAAGCAGGCATACAAAAGAAATTTAAAATAAATCAGGAAGGAACTTTGAGATTATGGGAGTCGAGCAAGGCAAAAACAAAGAACTTCGACATACCAGACAGGTCTCATAGGTATGGTCGTGAATAGAAAATATTGCCCTAAAGCAATATTTTCTATTCATATTGTAAAATGAAAGATTTAAAGAATGAAAATTAGTTATCCAGATTTGTTGTCCGTGTAAATTTGACAAATTTATTAATTGAATAAGAGTTCTGATTAGTTTATTTCATCAATTTTAAATTATTTAATTAAATAACAAAAGATTCTTATTGTTTTTAGACAAAACTAAATATTTTCTTCCTTTAAAGTATTTTAAACTTTGTAATAAAATAAAAAAATGCAAATGATGCTAACATGAAGTAACAAATCATAAGAATAATGGCAACAAATCATCTACTTGTGAAATAAAATCTAAAACGGGAATGTAGACGAAGGGGGACTATAACAGGAAAACAATTTTCAGCTATTTTAGTTGGATACAGCCAATTGATCCTTCAAAGTTGCACTATGAAAAGCTTGGTTTATTCTGGTTTTGTAATTCTAGCAGATGTAAATTTTCTACGGTTTTACATTTGTATATAAGGAAAGAAGCCAGAAATTGTTTTCAAAGCATACATAAATGTTGGACCGTCAATTATGAAAAGGTCTGGATACTTTTGGCACAATCTATAATCCATAAAAGTTTGACATAAAATCATTTTTAACTTCTCTAAAAACAAACACAGTTAATTAAAAAGTTATAAAGTTATGAAAATCTGCTAATGCTAATTACTATATTTACAATTTCCAAAACTGCCAGAAGATATAAAATTTCGGCAGTTATCTCTCTACGTTTCGATGCGTAACAAAACAAAAATTCAATTTACATTATAAGTGTATATGCATTATGACTGCCGGTGCGGAAATTCGACATTGCATAATAAAATGTTGCCCGAAATGAGATCTGAGGAAATTGAATTTAAACAAGTTACAAACTCCTTACTCTGTTAATCACTTCTTTCTAAATCCAAATAATTCCGTTCTCCTGCAATTATCTTAATGACAATGCCGTAGACGCATTGTGTGTTTATCGTTCATGCATAATGCTAAGTAGTTTCCTGTCTATTGTTTTCTGTTGCAAAACATCATTCTAATTTAATAATAGTGTTTGTGTATTTTTTTTTTGTGGATAATTTTTGGTAATTTTATCATTACGCTTGTCCATATGACTTATTATCTTGGGTAAGACATAAAATATGAAAATTGTATCACTTTGAACTCTAAATAACTACAAAATTATTGATAAACGAGGAAATGATATTGAGGTAACCAGTTATCGAAATAGTTTATTGAATGTTTATAGTGTTCTAGTCTTTAATTTGTGCAAATATTTTCTCAATTTAATTTAAAAATGCTTAATTTTGAGAAAAATTTGAGGAAAGAAGCTCTCTAACAAGTGAACTTATCAGCTTGTCTCCGAGAGAATGATTGAACCACATTGTATGGCATCCATCATTCAAAGTATCATTCAATCATCTTAACGGACTACCATATTTTCTAAATTACCTGCCGGCAGCTCTTCTTCGTGGTGACCTTTCTAACGTTTGAGTGCAAGTCCCCATCCCGAGAATCTCTCTCCATCTGCAGTGTCACCGAGGGAACAAACTTCCAGTACTGTCCAAGCGCTGGTTTAAACATTCCATCATCTCCCCGAACAGTGTTGTTGCAAATCTAAATTTTAAAATTTCTGTTGTAGTTATTGTGTTGAAAATAAATAATGCAATCAGTTTCCAATTGAATTCAAGGATTGGATTTCACCCCGATCTTTGATTAAACAAGAGAAGAACAAATTATCACACAGGCATTAATTACGTATAAATATCACTATATTTGCAAGAGCTTTCGACGTGCTATAAAACGTCATCCTCGGGCAGACACAATCTCAAATAAAATTTTCAAACAAAGATTTTGAATTAAAACTAATACCATTTTAGTTTTAATTCCAAATTATTTCAGATTGTGTCTGCCCAAGGACAACATTTTATAGCACGTCGAAAGCTCTTGCAAATATAGTGATATTTATACATAATTAACAGCTGTGTGATTTGTTCTTCTCTTGTTTAATCAGTTTCCATAATAAACTTTATAAGTGCGCATATATCATCTTACCACAACTGCTAGTGCATGATCAGAACAGAGATTCTTCAGCAGATATGCTAAATGCACCATTAATCCTCGTCCATCAGAGTTCTGTATGCCCAGGCGGGGGGAGATAACCGCAGCAACCGAATCCAAAATGACAAGTTTTAAGTTCCTATATGGTGTCAAACTCTGCAAAGTAGGAAACACAAGTACAATTATTATTAAATAGGTATATTTTCATATATGTGATTGAATGCATATTTCCAATTAATTGGTCCTCACAATTTTTCTACGAAGTCACGAAACATGAAGTAAACTGAAGGTAGATTTCCGGCAAATTTCATTGTGTTATATTTGTGAAGGTCATGACCATTTAAGTATCAAGAATGGAGAATGTCAGCATATCAAACAGAGACATTTTAAGGGTTCATCAGTACTATATTAAAATTTAATGCACGTTTTAAAAAATACCCCTAATTAAAATTTATCTAGTATGATGTTACTTCCAATGGCACAGTATATGAGGAAAACTGAACATCAGACAATACTGATATTGATGCAAATAACATACTAATTATATATTCAGAAACAAGCCAGAATGCCAACCACAGGATGATCGAATCCACAAAAAGAGGTATTCAAATTAATACATTTGCAATTAAAATATTATTTGCTCAAGAGTAATTTATACAATATTTTCTATATTGTATGCAAGTATTTTTGTATGTAGACATCAGTAATAGTATGACAAATTTTAATACATACATTTTTAAATTTGTAATAAAATGCTTTGAAACAAGTGGTGAAACAATGTTTCACTAACATTTTGACTGTATGTCCATCTTTGCAGAGACAGCATTCTAAAATTCAGGAAACCATAGAACAACATAGAAGTGTTAATATGACATTTTTAGACTAGAATAAATATACTAAAAACTAAATATAATTGATAAATACTTACTTGGGAACATAATTGAATTTTTAAATCTTCTAATAATTTCATGAGTTCGAAGACATCATAAGCATTTACCATGTGAATTCTTTGAAGTATATTGTCAGCATCCTAAAAAAATTAAGTAAAATTAGTAGTTATTATATTTAAAATAAAATTCAAAATACTGTTTTGAGAAAAAAATATTTTGAAAAAAGTTTTAGTTCTAAATTTGGGTGAAATCAAAATATTAGGATTCATTGTGCATTTATCTCACATTGTTGCACATTACCTGCACTTGGCAAATGTGACAGTTCCAAATTAGTCAGATATCATTCAGCCGAATGTCCTCCATCAAAATACTACTTTGAAACTGAAGATGGCTGCACCCATATAAGAGATGTATTATTTATTAATATAAAGAGGTGCATTATAGTATTAATCCACCCACACACAATTATTAAAAACTAAAATCAGATAATTGCAAAATATAAATTTAAGGACGAATTTAATTTACTTCTTCAAATGTCTTTAAATTTGTAGAAATGAGCAAAAGCTACCATAATGCCACTGACCACTCTTGTCTACTCTTAATTCCTCATAAAGCAGATTCGTTACCATTTCCTAACAGTTATAGCTACCGCACTTAACCGTCGAGTCTACCAAATGTAGCTGTTAATGGCATATAATTGACATCATTTGTCTTAAGACTGGCAGCCCAGTCTCGTCAACAAAAGTGCTTCCACAAAGATTGAGAGAACATCTCTCGTATCAAAAAAATGTTGATCTGAAATGCTTCTGTACAGATTTATTTTTGAATACTAATGGCCAAAGTCTGAAGAAACTCCAACTTGAGTTCCAGATTGGTCTGAGAATTTTGTATGGGTGGTCCAATCTCAATGTGTAAGTCCATCCCTCACCATCGTGCCATTCTTCTGGGAGCACGGTCAAACCTACAAAGAGCAGGGCAGAGTAAACTTGCATCTGTTTGATAAGAAGAATGCACTTGCAAAGTATTGTCAGATATTTAAAAAATATTCTGTATTTTTTGTAAGAATTGTGTGAAAAGATTTTATTTTATATTTGTTTAAAAATATTTATAAGCCACTTTTTACCAAAATGTATTACAATGCCATTAAAAATACTCAATTTAATTTGTATAAATATTTAAATAACTATCTTTTAATACAATTATAATCTGTATTAAAAATTTACCATTTGAGATACGTTTCGACTTTTTAACATGTCGGCAATCCTCCGACACGAGAAACTTCCTCCTGTGTCTATGTACAGGGCGGAATGTCGAGTCTCCAAACAGACCGAAGTTACCATACTGTGACACAACTGGAAATTCATTTTTAGTCCGAAGTTTAATTTTTCATAAGTCGTCACTTTTAAAATTAAGAAACAACTTTACCTGAGTTTTTCCGGCCGCAGGAGGACCGACGATTTCGGTTATTTCTCCGGTGTAGATTCCGCCATCGAGAATCTCATCTAACCTGAAAAATTAATATCACACAATTTTAAACCAAACCAAACAAAAGCAGGAGTTTAAAATTTTTTTCAAACAAAAAATTACTAATAAATATAACTCTGAACTAGTAATAATAAATATGTGTTCTTAACTTAACATCATGGCTATCAAAGACAAGGAATGGTATACTCCAAAAATATTAGAGACAAAATACAGGTTTACAAGGTGGCAAGAGTATGCTCGATTATATCGTAACTCATCCCAAGGAGGTTAATGTACCACATATATAACTGTATTAATACAATAAAAGATTATACTTTCTATGGGTAACTCACTACTATTTAGTTACATTTTTGAAAGAACAGCACTATTCCAAGAGGAGAAAACCCCAATAATTGCATAATGCATCTAATGGATATCGAGTCAAACAAACATTTAATGCTATAAATGAAACTTTCATTTTGGTCACGTTGGACTAGTAAAGGTTAATTTTTTAAAACTAAATTAAAGAAATGTGAAGATCAGATGCTTAGAAATGCAGTGGTAGTAGAAATGGAAAAATGTTGAAATCTCCCAGAGAACATCAATTGTCAGTAAAGTATTACCAGTTCTTGAGTATTATAATGAAGTCTGGATGAAAGGCAGATGCAAAATTTAAATTGTAAGGTAAATTTTGATGATTAAATTATTGACCCACAGAAATATTACCAAAAATTTGAAATGCAAAAGTAAGTAATTAGAGAGAGGTGTATTAATGCAAGAGATGTCAAAGCCATCCCAACCTCCTGGAAACAGCTATACAAGAATGTAATAAATGGCAATATAAAACAAAAGATTGTATTTATTTGCATTATTATGTATTATTACATATTATTAATTCCAAGATTTTTGTACACTTAAAGTATTTTATATACACAATTATTCTATTTTTATTTTTAAGAATCTTTAAATTCTCTAGAAAAATATGTATTTAAATATATTGCGTTCAAATTTTCAAAAATTATTTTTTGAAAATCAATTAAAAGAAATCAAGATATAATGCTATATCTAAATTAAATTAGGTTAAAAAAATAAACAATTTTAAATATCTCAAACTTACAACCAACAATAAATTAAGTTAGATGCAAAAAATAAACAATATAGATTTGTTCGTCTTTACTTCAGAATACAAACGCCCCGAGAATAAGGTGACACGCCCATGCTATGCTCTTCTTTACTATTACTGATGTGTACTCCACGGAGACTGCATTTTTTTTTTAACTCGTTCTCCCCCGAAGCACACCCCGTGGACTCGGCAAAGTAAAAAAAGTGGAAAGGTCACCACGGCATAAAATTTTCTTTTACCAAAATTCAAAACGACGGAAACAACAACGTGGCCATCAAATCGAAGACATCCGTGATATTAAAACGTCGAAACAGAACTTTACAAGTTTACTAGAAAGGTTATTTACCGGGTGGAAGCATTCTTGCGAATAGAAGCATAATTATATAATTCTTTTTCCCCAAAAAGGTTTGTCACGCTGGTCTTATGACATAATAATAATAATATAGTATTATTTGAAAGTTTGGCTCCATAAAAATTGTATAAAATATTGTATTTAAAAAATAACCTATACAAAATAAATGACATTAAGTTAGTTATGTAATTTTCAATGTAAATTTCAGAGTATTTATGCAAAAGTTTTACGATAAGAAAGAATAAACATACATTTAAATAAATACAATAATTACCTGGGGCATCCAGTACCAAAAATGGCGAGAGAGGAGAGTAATTCTTCGTATAAATGAAGAGCATTTTGAGGAAAAGCAGCGTACTGAGCTCGTAGAACGTGATTAATGCCTACCACATCCTTTCAAGTAATATGAATTTTATACAGAAATTCGCATCACTTCAAATGCCATATTTTGATAAAAATTACCTTATAAGAGAGCTGACATTTCGTACACAGAGCTTCGGAGTCGGTGGACAAGAAATCCAGTACGCTGGTAATTCCCGCATCGCGACATCGACGAAGAACGTCTTCCGTTAACAAAGGACAGATTCCCGTCCTCAGAATAGGCATTTCGACCTCAACATATTTGTCTAACACTCGAGTAAAACCTTTAAGCAACTAAAACAGAACACGCGTACCGAGACGTAAACAAAACCACGCTGTAAAATTACCGCCATTCGAAACTGGCCACTAGAGGCGCCCCGAGAAAAGAAACAGAAAGATAATATTAAAAATATGAAAGATTACAAATATCCAAAATAATTTCTTTTAATGTTTTTTTAACTTTAAATTACATTCGTATTAAGAAAATGAATACTAAATATTTCAATTCGTACGAATGAATAATTTCGTCATTTCTAAAGCACGCTTCGTTTATTATCTCGTTTTCCCAAATATTAAAATTTACGTATTATTTTTCGAGTCCCCACTATGCTCTTCTTTACTATTACCGATGCGTACTCCACGGAGACTGCATTTTTTTTAACTCGTTCTCCCCCGAAGCGCACTCTGTGGACACTCTTTTAGCCAGCCCATTACGAATTCGGCCAGGCCCGCCATGGGGCGGCCGGGTAATAAGAGACGGGGACACATCCGGACGGACCACCATCCGACTAATTCCCGGGAATTTTTAGACCCAGTTCGGATTACATCCCGGCTCCCGCACATACCGGTTGATAGAGAACGGGCCCGATATATCCGGGAGTTATCGCCCGGATTTGATCCTATAACCCCAGAGCGGCGGACTGACTGTTTCGCTGCCTCCAATTTTCTGTAATAATAGAATGTTTTGTTAGCTGTTTTCTTTTTTGTTACGTTAAGCAATAATTGTACGACCGAATTAAGACACGTTCCAGCAATGTTTTAGAGAAGTAAATTTTAATTTCTCACCAAATTTCCTTTAAAGATCAATTTATAAATTAAGTAATGGTACGTATATAATTTTAAGCTCCTCTAATTAAGGATTAATTTGGGAATTTATGCTTGTTCGTTGTACGATTCGACTCGACACATCTTAGCCCTTGTGGCTTTTGTGCCGAAACACCTCCGCCAATGACAGTTTATACTTATATTTACGCAAGTTCTTGTTCTAAGAAGAGTTTTAGCTTAAATTATAGACAAAGAATTAGAAAAGTTCCGAATATTAAACATTTACCGCATATTTAAGTAGCTTATGAAGCAAATTACTGAAGTGGATTGATTACGGTACCGTAGCGATGGTGCAAACCTCGATTCTCAGATCTTTTATTATATAGAATTTGTAGTTTTTATAGCCTTATAAACTCTATAAAATAAAATAAAAATCTAAAAACTTTAAAAAGAAATAAACTACAGTAGACCTCTCTATAACACTGTAGATAATTCCGTGTTATATGAATTCCATGTTGTACGAGTCAGTTAGATTTTACAAATACGTCAGCCGTTCACAGTCCGGCACATGTATTTGTAAAATTTAAGTGACTCGTACAACATGGAATTCATATAACACGGAATTATCTACAGTGTTATAGGGGTTTACTGTACTTAAAGCTTTTATTAAAGAAATAAATCTTCGGCTTTTGAGCCGCGGGCTGGTGTTACGAAGTTTGCAAAGCATTTAATAATTTCTTTACAGAATTATACGGGAATGTAATTTCCGCACTTGGACGTCTTATCACTCTTTCCTACTTTTACCTTAAAAATTACACGGTAGCTTCAAGGATACTAGAAAGGTGTCACTTAGCTTCAGCTCCGAGTGGTCATTACATTCTAATGGGCGCGCGATAATAGTGTTTAACACAATTTTACCGCCAACAGTGCGCGAGATACCCATTTCTAGAGCTTTCTACAGTCAATTTAACTAAAAGAACAAATGCTTTGCGCGGTCGACTACCCAGTGTGTGTCGTTGCAGTTTACTGTAAATTACCTAAACGATTTATTGGAGGCGTGAAGTCTCTTCTTATAGGAGATCCCAAGCCTCCTAATGACCATCGTGTTATTCCTATAGATGCGGGAGTAACGCGATTACCATTAATAATACGACTTTCTGATCCTCGGTACTAAAATATTTAATTTTTAGAGGTTAGAAGAATCGACAGAATTCGACCGTCTTCGGAAAAGTGGAAGAGACGAACCTGCCAAAGAGGGCGAAGTCGAAAGGTGCGAGTACGACGACGAAGTAGAATCTCTCGAGAATCTTTTCAATCAATTAGACAACAAACAGAATCTAAATAAGGACGAGCTTAGAAAATTGTGGAACAAACTGCAAAAATTCGAAGCGAAATCGTCAGAAAGAGTGGAATTAACTAGAAGTCGCGGAACCGGCAACGTTGTAAATAAAAATCGACACCAGCGCCCGACGGTGAAATGGCAAAACCAAAGCTACGACGTTTACGACAGACGACGGAACGAAAAGTGTAATATTTGCCAAGAAGGGAAGAATATTTCACAGACGCATCGAGATAATTTTTGGGAAGAGGAAGGCGGAAAATTGCACGGCGATTATCAAAAGATAATTGGGCAATTGTTGGAAGAAATGGGGAATTGCGATAGCGACAGACAACGCGAGTCGCGCCGGCTGCGAGAGAAATTCGAAAGAGAGAAGCGCGAAATTTCGAGACATTACGAGAAGTTGATGGATCGATTAGTCGCCACCAGTCGCGCGGAAGTGGAAAAATATAAACAGCTGGTCGTAAATAAGGAAAAGGAGATAGAGGATTTGACCGAAAAAAACCAAAATTGTCAATATGGCCGAGCGAAATTTAAATTTATAGATAAAATGCTTAAGCGAGGGAGTCGGAAAGCGGCTAGATTAGAAGGTGAAGAGAAGGGGAGGGTGGAAGAAGCCAGTGTCGAAGATAAGAGTAAAGGAAGGACGGAAAACGTGTCGCGCGAAGACAAGCTATCGGAAGATAACGCGAGAAAGCGTTGGCTTCGAAGGAGGATCCGAGTAGCGGAGTCGACTATAGAAAGGTATCGAGTGGAGATCAAAGAGAAAAGGGAACTTAATCAAAAGTTAAGAAGGTTGCGAGCTGGATTGGGGGAGGTGCAGTGGGAAAAGGAGCTGCTGAGCCGGTCGTGCCGCAACTACAAAGAACCTACTACTACTGGCGACAAATGGCAGAAATCCGATCGTCCCCACTCCCACCGGGAGAAGGAGCAAATAGCCTTTAGGGACGCGCGCTCTTTCCAACGGAACCGGACAAATCGGGTGAGTAAAAATGGTAATTTATACGAGGGGCACTCGGCTAAAAACACGCATAAAGCTCTTTTTATCGAGCTTTAAGAGCCGCTCGCGCATTTAAAGGCGGGTGGATTCACGTGCAACCAGATAATTCGAGTACACCTATTGTTATTCTGCCTCCAGAATACACGGAAATCTAAAAATACGACTTAGTCTTGGCCGATGGGCTCTACTTTCGCGTTTTAATCGCTTTCAAAACGTAGGGCCTTCTAGGAGGTTTCCAAATGCCTAACGTCTTTTCTTGCCAACCCGGTGCGCCTAATAATCTCCCTCGTTTCCCGTAGAAACACAAAACGGAGCGATACAACCGATCAGAAGACACCTGTAAAGCGGAAGAGGGTGCAAAATTTAACGACGAGGCGAGTGGAGATAATCGCTTTCGACCTTAGTCTACACAAGATGCCCGTTGTATTAATCGAGCCTCTTTTATAGGATAAAAATGCGGCTACCCAATCGTATCCTAGAAGACAGACTTGGAAAACATTTCTAAGCCAGGATTGGTCGAACAATTTCCTTCGTCTACCCGAGAGGAGCGAAGAAGGGTCATCGAATCAGGTAGGTAAATGGGTTAATCGCCGACCAATGGATGTAATTGTAACAAATTTACGCCGTAGGAAGGAATTGGAAGCGTTTGGAGGAACCGACCTGGATTTTCCTCCAGGAACGTCATCGCGGCGCGTCAGTGGTTGAAGGTCAACAAACAACACGATTTTCTGCTGCTGGACGGAAAAGTGGTCGATGCCGAGCGGCAACAGGAGAGAGGAAAAGATGCGAAATTCTGCCTGCCAGATTAGAAGTGGTCTTTTCTCACAATCCTACGGCCTGGCGACGTTATTCTAAGCGAAAAGCGCATATTCTGACGCCAATGTCACTTAATAAAGAGTTTGTAGCGTAGTTTCTACCCGTGTCAAAGTTCAAACGAGATACGAAAGAGAAATAAATGACGTCCGAGTTGGGGGCGCTGCCGGAGGGTCCGTTGGACCGGAAATGGCGGATGTCGATTCATTTTTCTCCGTGTTGCCAGCCCGTTTTCGGAGTTTTGGCCGGTGTCAGAGGTATCTGCTCCGATCGGACCAGAGATGCTTTATTAACGATAGCGGCCGTTTGTCACAAACAGTGTTTTAATTACGTCACGTACTAATTAATTAAATTACGGGTTATTAATCAGAATTCGGCCTGCTGTTGTCACACCGGCGGTCATTTCGCATGCCGCATTTATCGCCCGACGAAGACCGGAAGCGTTCAAAAACCCGAATAGGGAGTGATTCCGTTTGGAAAGAGAGACGGGCCTGTGCCGTTTGGGCACGGAGGCCGATCTTCCCCGATGATCTAACGGCGGAGATAAAGGGAGTAAGAGCGTCTGTTCTCGCCGGTCGCGAATTCGCCCGGCCGATCAAGATGGCGTCGCGACACCTCGAAGTAGGAAGCGGCGCGGCGCTGAGGAGGACGATTCGCACACCTCATTAACCTTCGAAGATAAACATTCGAGCATAAATTTCTCGGCGGCGGCGGGTTAATTCCGCGTTTCGTCATGCGCGACGGCGATAAAACACGGCCATCTCCCGTGCGGCATAAAGCCGGCGGGGCGGAAGGTTTCGCTCTGTTAGGTGGCGCCGAGCGCCGATTGTGCATCGTCAGCGCTTCGCGTGCCGCTTTCGACGCCGGAGCGCGTCGTGAGGGAGGTAAAAGTGTCGAGCGCGTGATTTACTTCCGGTGGCCGGTCTGCGGGATGTTCCTTCTCGACGAGAACCACCGAAAAGGGCTTAGTTCGGGCAGAGGATCAGCCGTCTCCGCCGGCGGAGGCGCATAAAACGGTCGTTAAGTACAAGCCGGCGGATAAACCGCGCTTCCGTCCTCTGGCCCGGAAAACTACCTTTCGCATCATAAAATCCACCCTCCGCCGTTTGGCGGCGCGCGCCAAGTGGCAACGGCGTCGCGCGTGGCGTAATTAAGTCGGGGGGAGGACGCTGCCATCACGCTAACGGGCAATTCGGTAGGTAAAGGGGGACGGTCGGGTCCGATCCGTCTCCGGAATGCGGACCGGATGCGCGGGTAATGGACGGGCATTAGCGTGGAGAGGGCCAATTAACCGGTCCGATTCGGAAGGGACGGACGGAGCGCGCGCGCTGCGATAATACTCGTACAGTTATAACGTAATTTTTCATCGGGACGTCTGTCTTTTTTCCCGATTAATTCCTGTCATAGATAAAACGTGATTGATGACGTCTCCCGTCTCACCTGCCAATTACAGTTGTTCCGATTGCGGATGACTAGTTCCCGACTTTCTCGAGAGAGGGAGGAGCTGCCGCGGTCCAGTTTTTCCGTCACCCTTTCTTCCCTCGGTCCGAGTTTTTTGCTCTTCTCCTTCGGGCTCGACGCGTTAAGTGGATAACCGGAGGCCATTTCTCCTCCTCCTCGTCCTTCTTCCTCCGCATTCACTTCTGCCAGCGGCCACCTTAATGTCACCGTTCGACGATAGATGTCGGCACCGATTCCGTCCGAACAAGATGGATGTTGCCACTTTTATTAATTACTTTATTAATTGTCCGAACGAGTTGCCGGCGCGTCCAAGATTTATCGCGCGACACCGTGTCGAGCGACGCGACAACGCGACAGTTTTGCCATTCCTCGCGACGACGAAGGTGGCCGGGCAAATTCTACGCGAGTGCCTACGAAGGGGAGTGGGAATTTTCCGCTAGTCTTAAATAAGGCCAGTCCCGTTGTGTATAAATATGCCTGGGTTGCGGGTAATTAAGAATTGGCCGTTTCTCCAGACTCTTCCCGAAGATGGGCGAGAGGATAGCGACGATGACCATGGAGTATTTGTCGTCCCCGAGAGATGCGGCTCGGGGAGGAACGAGAGGCCGTGTAATAAGTCTAGAGTGTTTTTGTCGAATTACCATATCCCCGGTCACGACAGAGTGTTTTAGCAGGTTCCCCCGTGATTCAGAGGATGCGGAGCGATACCCGTCTGTGTATCTAACCAAACGCGAGCTAACTGAAGTGTAAGCGCGCAATCGCGGCTCTTTGTGGCCGGGAACGGGGGAAACACACCAAACTCGGGCGCTCCCGATTAATACAAGCTGCGCTTTTTGCGTTCGAATAATAATAGGCGGCACTAACCACATCTCCTCTACCTCCTCCCTTCTTGCTTTTCGTGACACCGGCAGGCTTTTTTTAGCCCCCTCTCGCTTCCAATTCATTCCTCGTATGCAAATTAAGTGCTGCGCAAATCCTAAAAAAGTGCCAGCATCTCTATCCGGCTGCAGAATCCTAATTTCCAATCCCGTTCGGGATTGTCGATTCGTACCGGAAAGTAGGGTTTGGGGTTAGAGATGACCACGCGGGGGGACGATCTTCCGGTGACGAATCCCGTTTCGGAAGAAGGACCCGCGCGGAAGCGCCTCGTTGGCGATTTGTTTAGTCTTCTCGGTTGGGTGAAGGTCGGAACCCTCGGGTTCACCGATGGCCCTTATTTATCCTCGCGGCTGTTGTGACGTAACCGGCACGATCGTCTTCCTTGCCGGAATTGGCGTAACAATCGAACAATTTCGCACACGGGCATTCCGAGAACCTCTATTTGCGTGAGGTTGAGAAAGATCGGTGTTTGCAAAAAAATCTAATAATAGTTTTAGGAGGAGTAGACAAATTCTCGCGTACAATTGGGTTATAATGATAGAAACCCACTGTACGAGCCCACTGAGTGCGCCAGCTTCTTCGAAGCTCCCCTCTAAAAATACGCGCAGATTAATCGATCGTAACGTGAGAAAAATGAAAACAAAACTCGTTGTACTAAGGAACGGGGAGCGTCACAAAGTACACTTAACCCACGCGATGTTGCGGATTATTCCGAATTATAACAACGCAATCCGCATTATCGATCGATGTAATGATTTCTTGCGCCATAGAAGCGAAATCTTGTGTCGAGTTAGTCAAATCTCTTCCGATCCGGACACGAATTCCCGTTACGAAACGTTACGTAAGTGTTTTGTAATCGGAGCTGACGAAACTGGACCGGGCCTCCCGAAATATCGACCAACGATCTTGTCGCGTAACAGCACCGAATATACGTAACCGCATTGTGCGTGGATGATGCTGCAAAGTTGTCTAAAAGTAGCTATTCGTTGCGTAACTCCTCCGTCTTTTACGGGCTACCCGAATTTTTTACGTCACAAATGAATTTTAGAAATTTTCTCGGTTACAACTAATAGAAATGAGCGTTCCCGGAGAGAAAATGATGCAACGAATCTCGAGAAAGTAGATCTATCACGTAACGATTTAACGTGTTCCGTTTTTCTTACGAGCTACCAGAGTGACGGTGTTGCGTCATTGACGTGTTTACGCCCGCTGTTCGACTGGTTCTCGAATAAAGTCGATTATAGGAACAACACATTTTCCTGCATTGCCTCTCGCCACCAGTTACGAGTCGTAAACTGTGGCTAAAGGGTTTAGCATCGATCGAGCACTCCACTTTTGCAGATTCGGATGGATTTCGAGATGCCAAAAAGCTAGCAAAGTGATTCCTTTTAACAGCGGCGATAACTTTATAACGAATTTAAGTAAATTTCATTAAGGATGCGATACATTTGGCTACAATTCCCTACGGTATGAGGTTATAGGGTGCGGTAGTAAAAATCTGCGTGTCATCAGTGCCTTGGACAATCTCCAACCTTAGCCCATGCCTTCTAAGTGACTGCAGCCATTGATTGCACTGTACTCTACTGTACATTGTATACGAATTAGCCTTAATATCTCGTACGCAATTCGTACTCTACCCCTACTTCTACCGTATTAACGGGCTCTAATTTAGGTTTGCCCGTCCCTATTTTTCATGCTACGATCTTTATTAATACATTTGATTTAAGTCAACTCGGGGGCCCTTTAAGATGTTAATTAGCGAACTATCGGTTAGTCTGTAAAATGAGTTGTATTGTCTATTAATTGTGGTTCTAGGGGTTGTTAGGGGAAACGAAAAAAATAGGAATTTCTATCTCCTCGTTTAGCGAGTTTAGGGGGTACAGTATTGAATTTTAGTAGTTGCACGCCTGAAAGAGACATGTAAGCCACCTCTAGATGTAGGGTACGAGGGTAATTTACGCACGGTTTTGGGACTTCAAGACCTAATTTAATCCAGTGTTAGAAACGGTGGCGCTGTCATTACGGTGGAGTGCGAAACATAAAAGGCTCGAGAGCTCCTATTGTAGGTCTCCCCCGCAAAAATTTAATGGCGGAACAGAGAACGTCTCGAGCAGTATTTTGGGACGTCTGCGGCACACTCTCCTTCTTAAGTGTTTTAGCGCGTGGGGTTTAATCATCGATCGAGGGTATAATCGGGTAGGAAGCGTTTCCTTCCTACACCGAGAAGGGGATTAAATCGGTGGCCATCTTTTCTATGGTTACTTTTCCATCTAGACGCCAACAATAGGAAAAAGTATCCGGGAGGGCCAAAGGGTCAACTATTCAACCCGCTCTTTCCCGGAACGAGTAGGACATTAACTAGTTATTTCTGTAAATAACGTCACACGAAACTAATTTGCTTCTGTGGTCTGTTAGGGGCGTGTTTGGGGAAGAGAGCTCTCGTCCTCGCGCCATTTTTTTTGGTGGCAACGGCGGATGCGAGGCAATTACCGTTCCGCTGATAATGATAATGTCGGTACACGCGGTAATAACCGGGAACTAATTCGTGTAATTATTGCGTAGACGTATTTACCGAGACTAGCGGTCCGCGTGGCCGCGCGGCGGAAGATGGCGGCGAGGCAGGCGACGCGACGCGAGCGGGATCTAATTAATTGGAGCAAACGGCTAGGTGATTAGATTAGCGGAGACGTAATCGGGGAAGGAGCAGCCGTTTTAGAGGGATTCGGGTGCGGAGGGGGAGCCGGTGTTTGTCCGGATCTTAATCTGTTTTAGGTGGTCCCTCAGGTGCCGGGCGGCGGAAAGAAGCCTCCCCTAACATTGGCCAGACCGCCTAATTGGCGGCCTAATTCACTTAGTGGCCGAAACAGATGTTTGTCGGAAGACGAACTTTACATAAAGAGCCCCGTTTGCCTTTTATCGACAAACTTTGGACATCTCTCCGTTTTTATGGAGTTTGGCCAGTGACGGCGTACGAGTGGTCCCGGTATAATACGACAATTTGTCTGCTCCTGAGTCACGAGCACCCGCTTATCCCGGGCCTCCCCTTAATCTACTTCCATAAATAATGCCACCAGATTCCATCTCCGCTCGGTTTATCTCGGGGATAAACGACATGGCGACGTGGGTCCGGCTAATTCCGACAATAACGAAATGCATATTTCTTCCGACGTCACGGAAACGGCTCCGGCCCGCTCCCTCCCCCTAATTAAGCCGGGCGCGGGAGACGCGTCGCGCGGCGCGTGGGTCGACGACGCGTCGCCTTCTGGGAAAACGGACGACGGACGTCGAGTGACTACTAATTTCAACGTTGTCGTGACGTTAGACCCGAACACGTGACACTTCACCCTTTCCGATGCCTTGGGCGGTAAAAAAGCCCCTGCCGATCACGCCATTCGGCTATTTACCGGTCCGGCCAGAAACGGGTCCGACCCGAGCGATTAACGGTGCGGGACCACCCGCGAAGGGGGAGAAATCGCGGAACTCTCAGCGTCCAGATTCGGCGGGGGCCGCGGCGCGCCTGGCGGCGGCGCGCCGCTACCCTTAACCCGTCCCGAAAATGCGGGCGCCACCCGACCGATGCGGCCGGGAAAGGTTCATCTATAATGCAGCATGCCGGGAGGGAGCCGGGGAGCGAAGAAGCCATCAAACTCGACGGGACAAGCGCGACGTCCCACCGACCAGACAGGACAAGACAGCTCCGATGTCGGACGTAAGTAATGTCTACCCCGACATCTGTCGCTGCCGTCGAGGGTTGGTGCAAGCAGAGCAGAGACGCAGTGAAAAATCGTCGGTCCGCGGGTCATTTTAAAACCATGGCGGAACCACAGACGGC